TGTATATTGCACAATACTGAGGTTTAGGCTTCTAATATCACCCAAGTAGTGAACACAGTATCTGATAGCTATGCCACCCACTAAAATCTCTCTTATTTGATCCAATGGCAATTGGTTAATTTTTTAAATTTGGGAAGTAATTTAACATGTGTGTATTTGTATATATACATACACACACAGGTATGTATGTACACATCTATACTTTTATGTATGTACCTAAATACATAAGCAATATACACACTACATATACACATGTACACATTTATATTGTACATGTGCAATTTTCCACATTATCTCTTCACTTAAAACATATAAACGTACATCCACTCACCATCCTTTGGGTATTGAGGCAAGTGCTCAAGACACATACATAGATTTCCATTACACCATTCTTAAATATGATGATGGGGGTCAGCCTTTCAAAGAAAATATTCTTCACTAATAGTCAAAATGTGTCATGCTACTCCATCATTTGTCATTAGCCCTTTAAGACCTGGTCATTATGAAGTCAATACCTTTAGTAATTTCAGGCAAAGTTCAATTAGCCACCCTGTTCTTTGATCTATATCTGACAAACACCTTAGTGACCAAACAATGTTTAACTATGTTGACTAGAAATATTAGCATAAGAGTAATCTTAGGAAAATCAAGCTCCAACTCTACATTTGCAAGAGAACACATTTCTTGGGTAAACTCACCTACATAAGAAATCACTTTGCTCTTCATGTACTTTATATTTCTCTTTCCATTCAAAATTATTCTGTATCCCTGAAGAGAAGGTAAAACAAACATATGGCCTTCCAGTAAAAGACAGCTGAAGTTTAATAGAGTCCCAGGTCTACCGTTGGTGATTAGGGAACAGATTAAAATTACCATTTGGTTTCAGAGTTTGCTTGGTTGTTAACCTACAAAACTCAGAATCCATATACTGGTCAATCATTTCCAATCTTTTGACATTCATACTACTTAAGTTACAGTCAACCAGTCAACAAGTATTTGTTGCTCTGCCAAATAGGTGAACTACACATAGCACTAATAATTAATTCCTTTTAGGGTTGCATATTCTAGAAGTGGAGCATTACAAAGAATCATTACCCATATAAAAGTAGAAACAAAACAATATTGAGAAAATGTTTCTCAAAAGTGCTGGTAAATCTCTTTTTTCCCCTTCACAATAGAGACATCAGGAGAATGTGTTCAAGATTTATTTATTAAGGAAAAGTGATTCATCTAGGAAGAACACGAGACAATTTTATAATTGCTGTTTCACTTTCAAAGATGTTTAGAATTAACTTGTTGCTAAATGGAACTGTAAGATAATAAGCATCGGTTGTAGTTTCCTGTATTTTTTGGTTAGCATTATAATTAAATGAATGTGAATGAATTAACTGTGTTTAAAAACTACAAAACCCAGATATTGTGAAAATTTAAGTAAATAACAAGTTATATTTTAAACAAATGTTATGTTTGTACTACATTTCTACATTTCAATTACTAGAAGGAGGAAAGCACATTTTCCCCTTTTGGAAAAATAAAACACATTATAATGCCACAAGGGATTTTTAGGGTAAGGAAACTATTCTGCATGACACTGTAATAGTGGACACATGTCATTCTAGATTTTCAAAACCCATAGAATGTACAACACAAAGAGATAGCCCTAATGTAAACTACAAACTTTAGTTAATAATAATATAGCAGTGTTGACTCATCGATTGTAACGAATATGCCACATCAAAGCAAGATGTTAATAATAAAGGTGATGGGTGGGAGAAGGGGAAGGGAGTATTTGTAAATTCTCTCTACTTTCTACTCATTTTTCTGTAGACCCAAAACTACTCAAAAAAGTAAAATAGAGTCTATTAACATGAGAGAGAATTCAAACATTATGATCATTTTACCTTTGTATCGATTAAAACTCAACAAATTCAAGTATCACCTTACTCCTTTCCTCCTTTTAGTGTATGTACCTCTACCTTTGTTCCAGCTTGAGACTTGAAAATGACTGTGAACACTGATCAAAGAGTGTGTGCAGATTTTCATTCAAATACAAATCCAACAATTCACACTTGATCAGAGAGAAAAGGCACATGGTATGAAATGGGGCATTGACCTGGAGGCTGTCACTATTACAGTGCATCTGTGGGAATCCAGAAGCTTGGTTTCAGAGGTATTTTTAAAAATCAGAAGCTTTTAAAATACAAGGTGGACAGGAAAATGATGGCTCAGTAATTAATATCTATTAAAATCCTCCTAGATGTGTGAGAGAGAAAAAGAGAAAATTTTCAACTGAAGTATTAGTACTGGATGTTATTTTGAGATTCTCAAGCCTGTATTTATATAAGATTATTTATACCTGTCTGAGGACCTTAACTTAATCCCCAAGGCACTTGTGTCCAGAACACCAAAGTTCTGATGAAATCTTTTAGTCAGAAATTTTCATGAAGACCCAAATCCCCACAAAAGAAGCCAGGAAGCCAAGAATGCTTAAAATAACTCAAAATATCAGCCCGTTAAGTAATACCTGTGGTGTATCTACTACCCATCTAACACAGAAATAATTTTCATGCCAAAAGTATTCATACGTTGTGACATAGATATATCAGTAATTCATAGTTAAAGAGAAAGTGGACCTCAGAAAATGTTCTGTAAAAAATGAAACTTTATTTCCACTAGGAAATATGTTCAAAATATGAATTACATTGTAATATTTATTCCAAACCGAACCAAAAATCCAGGAATGGAGAAATTAGGGGAAAACATCCATGCCAAGAGTCTGAAATGTTGCTTCCTTCCATAGTCTTGCAGGAGTAAGTCTATGACTCCTATTCCTCAAAGTCGAAATCCAGTAACTAAACAGAATTTTTAAGTTGCCTCAGAATAAACAAAAAACAAAATACAAGTGATTACCTCAGTTGTCCAGATTATGTCTCTCATTTATTAATGCTTCACTATTTCACTGTTCTGAGGTATTCTCCAGAGACACAACCTTCATTGTAAAAGTTTATTTAAACATTTTTAGCCACTTCTTTTCTCACTTTCTTTGTGTTTCTTTCACCACCCCCAAATTCATTTCAACTCATTCAGACTCATTTTTTAGTTTTAAAAGCTACTTTACTTCAAAGCTTAACTACAGAAAACTAAAAAAGCATTATACTCAGGAAATTTCTTTAGTCAAGTGACATACATTAACCTCCTCAAAAATAAACAATGAAGTGGTTCCAGTGTTGTTAGAAATGGTTTCTGTTATTCAATTCACACAACTACACCCTAATCACAGATCAGATTCTTACTGGGTTCACCCAAGTAATTGTCAATTGACAATAAGCAGGTCTCCAAAGGTTGACTTGCCATTGATAGACCCACTCTCCCGTTGGGTAAGCTCTTGTGACCTGGCCAACTCAGGAACAACACAAAAAATATTTAAATGACTTAACAATTCAAGAAGCCAAATTCAGGTTGTGAGGCAATAATATGAATAGTAATTTTTTAAATATTAGAAAAGTAGAACTCCCTTTGTAAAATAAACTCAACTCTGTCATAGAATCTGTCTGCAGTAGCAGCTATCACAAACTTTTATGTGTATCAAAATCATCTGGATCATTAATTAAAACTGTACTAGTGGGCTGGGCACGGTGGCTCACGGCTGTAATCCCAGCACTTTGGGAGGCTGAGGCAGGTGGATCACGAGGTCAGGCGTTTGAGACTAGCCTGACCAACATGGTGAAACCCCATCTCTACTAAAAATACAAAAATTAGCCGAGTGTGGTGGCGCACGCCTGTAATCCCAGCTACTCAGGAGGTTGAGGCAGGAGAATTGCTTGAACCCAGGAGGCGGACATTGCAGTGAGCCAAAATCACATCACTGCACTCCAGTCTGGGTGACACAGCAAGACTCTGTCTCAAAAAAGAAAAAAAAAAATTGCACTAGCAACAATTCTTGGGAAATCAGCCTGTTTGGAGCCTTGGAAAACTGCATTAGTAACAAGCACCTTCATTCTACCGGGTAAGATACAACCACTACCTTTGTCTTACCTCTACCTTTGCCTCACTTCCACCCCACCTGTATTGCTATCTGTGGATGCCCTCCCACTTCCCCATTGTTAGAGATGAGGGAAAAAAGAAAATCTTTGCCTCACTTGCTCGCTACAGAGGGTTTTGTTTTTGTTTTCTTTCATGGCATGTTGTCACTTCTTACATTATAAAGCAAAATGTTAGAAAGAGTCAAGGTCTTACTTATCTATGATAAATATGATTTTTGTCTTCTATCTGGAAAATGACATGATTTATGTTTGTTTCTAATAGCTTCACTTTAGCTTTCGTTTCCAAATTAAACTATTAAGCTATCACATATAGATGCTGGTTAAATTAAAATGTTAAATGAATGAAACAATAAGGGAGGAATCTCTGGCCTTCCTGCCAAAAGTACCACTCCCTGGACTAATGGCATTGTCCCTGTATTAGTGAACTACTGATTTCTTCACTTGAACTATCCATGCAGTGCACCTGAACTATCCAGCTATCTCAATTCAGCACCACCCTTTGCAGTTCTGGTCATTACATGCTTAGGAGAACCCAGTAGCTAATATGTCCTGTTTACAAGTTAAAAGTCCATGTAACTTTCTATCAAGACTTACTGCAATCTGTTCAAATGTTGTTTTATAGTTGGTCATTTTGTTCACATTTTAGAAATAATCATATTCAGTATATTAAAAATATGTAACTTCTGTTAGAACTACACTGCTTTGAAGCAGCTAACACTATGGTTAAAATTGTTTAGCAACACATTTCTTTCACTTCGGGGCTTGTGGGAAAATAACCATATGTGTCATATCCCATGTAATTCTACGCCAGAGCTGAGTGCTGAAATATATTTTGAGTAGGGGTCATTCTCAGCATTTAAAAGACCGAACTTCCAAACTAACAACTTTGAAAAAGATAACCTTGAATTGAATATGGATTAACACAAGAAAGCAGAAGTCAAAATTTCAGGCTCTTACCAGAAATGGACTCCAACAAATACAGGAGACACACATTATTGCCAGGAGCTGGATCACCATTTCCAAATGATGAGATCTGCCTTGTCTGTGCTGCTGACTTTTAAATTTAACTCTTAAAAGTGTAATTCCTGTGATTGCATTGCACAACAATGAAACACCAAGGGCTAAGAGCCCCAGAAAAGAAAACAGTAGAAGATAAAATCTATCTTCCCAGTCTTTGATGTCTTCTGTGTTGTAGAAACACCAGGTCCTCGACGCCTGAATTTTATAGTCTCGATGTCCAAGGATAGGCAGCAAAGCTATAAAAACAGCAAACAAGCACACACCACTTAACATCATTTTCACATGTTTGGATGTAATTTTCGTAGAATGAAATATTGGTTTTGTGACTCCAATACACCGCTCAATGGCCATCACACTGCCTAGAAGAAGGGGGCACAGACCGGAAAACACCATGCAGATACCAAAAATGCTGCAAAGGACATTTGATTGGTCAAAGCGGATCCAGTCTTTATCAGAAGCATATACAAATACTGCTATCGCTCCATTGATGAGATGGCCAAAGAAGTCCGTGATTACCAGGCCACTAGCCAAAAGCAGAAATGATGCCTTGGACTTCTGTCTAAATCTCTGATATGCCTTCATGAGAATGGCAATGGCAAGGCTGTTTGACAAGATTCCCACTGTCATGAAGATTACTGAAAAAAATACGGAAAGCCGATTTTCCGTCTGGCAGGTTGTGTTTGAAAGAAGCCCAGCTGCAGAAGACACTGGCTGTTTGGAATTGTTCATGGACATTGTTGTGGAGATAAAAGTCAACCACTCAAGTCATCTCCCTCTCAAAACTGTGCAAGCTTGCAGTCCAGACATCTGTAGGTTAAAGAGAGAGGAATTATGAACAACGCATTACTGCTCATCTGACGTTTATGACTGACGTGCCCCAGCACCCTGTGGTGGGATAGGTTTTATCTGGCCTATCACAAGCAAGGTTGCATCATACTGAAAGCAGCTCATATCTGCCTGCGGTTCCACATTTCATTTTCAAGGTGAAGAAACTGTCGAAATTGAGACCCCTTGGTTAACTTCTGTGGCCCCTCTGCAAATGAGCACCTCCTCCTGTATGTCCCCCTGACACATCACTGACACCTTATAATTTTCAGGTTTTACAAAATTGCTACCAAGATTAGATTTAAACCCAATAAGGTTTTTAAAATCATAAGTCTATTAAAACAAACAAAAAAAAAAACCTTTGTCCCCAAACTGCAGATTATTCCTCAGTTGAATGACCTCCTTGTCAGGCAGACATAACAATCTCCAAACTTTGGAAGGAGACTAGCAAGTTCATTGATGTTAAATGCAGATTTTCTGAATATGTTTCTAAGCATAAATCAAATAACAGCAAGCCACACACACGTTGAACCCATGAAAAGCAGAGTGGTGAGTCTCTAGGAAGGTTTTCTGGTCTAGCTGCCCCTGTGCAGAAATTCTGATTCGCCATAGGGAAGGGGGCGGGCCACGCTCACTGTGCACCTCCGCCAAGATACTGTCCAATTACAGCTTCAAAGTAGCAACATCCAAGGCAAAGTATTTATTTGTCACTCTTTCCCCTAGGGGGCTGAAGCCTGAGTCACAGACACTGGATACAGAAGGCCACAGCCACTCTGCTCCGAGCTAATTCGATTGGCGTTTCCCGAGCAGCTAGCTTTCCCGGAGGCTGGGAATTCCGGAGCCAGCCTTTCCTGCGCCCAGCCGGAGTGGGACTGCCTAGGCTGCCCCCAGGACGGTCACCTCCTCCAGGTCTTACTCACAGTTCGACTTTCGCCCGTTACTACCCCCGCCGCCCTTTGGCCTGGTCTCACAACATCCTCTCCAAACTGACAAACTCGCTGAAACTTTCTGCAATTGCTCAAACGCCAAAGGGCTGTTTTCTCCCTCATCCCGGCACTAGGCGTGAGGAGGTCCCCGGCTGACAAACACGAAGTGCCGCCCGCAGGGAACCCTGCAGCGGCAAGAAGCGGGATCTCTGCCGATTTCCCTCTTCTGAGACCCTTTCTACCCGGTCCCCACCCGAGCAGCTCAGAATGGGGACGGGTCAGCCCGAGTACCCTTCTTTCTCTGCGCGTCTCCCTAGCTTGGGGAATCTGGTCCAAACTCAGTGTCAGACGCAGCCGGCAGAAGCTGCGGCCGGGTGTCCCAGGGGGTGAGTTGGTTAAACCTGGGTCTGGATAGCATACGGAGGCCCATGCGTTGGGATCAGCCTCCGGAGGGGTGATACCTTGTCATCCCAGGCCGCCAACCGGGCTCTCTGCGGAGGAGAAGATCGAGCCGCTCGGTGAGCCATGGCGCCCTGGGCCGCCGCCACCTCAAGTTCCACTGAGCCCAGCGCGGAGATCCTGCTCGGGCGCCGGCTGTGGTCCTGCAGCTCGTCCCCTCCGCGCACTCGTTCCCTTAGCGCGGAACCTGCCGGGCGCGCTCTGCTCCTGGGATCCCTCTGTACCTAGCTGCGCTGGCAGCCTGGGAGGGTTGGAGCGCGCGAGTGACCTCCGCCTCTTCGTCTTCTCTCTCGCCTCCGCCCCCTTTTCCATGGGCACAGAGCAGAACTGGGAAAAAAGGGGCACCGTGCTTGGATGCATCAGAGCTGCCCTTAGCCGCTGGACCAGCTAAAGAAAGTTTTGTTTTAAACTCATTTTTATCCCTAAGCCATCTCTAAGGATGCAAGACAGCAGTCTGAGAGCCGAGGAAACCCTAAGATGGTGTGTTAGGCTGTCAGATGGTGGCTTGCAGACAATTCATTCCAAGTCCAGCTCGAAACGCATAAAGAAACCAGGTAGAAAGAGGTTGTGTGTTTGAGGGAGAATTTTGTGGCAACTATCTCCAGGGAGTTAAAAACAGGCATTCAAGCCCAGTAAATGAAAACACTCACAGCCTTAGGGTTCACTGTCACACAGAGGACTGGGACTGTTTCCAGCTTTTTAAGGAATGTGAAAAGGAAAAGGGGTGAGATGCCTTCTTGAACAACACCGGCAGATAAGGGATTAGTAACATTTCAGTGATTTTAGAAGTCCACTGGAGAGAGAATTTCTAGTGATATGTATACTCCAAGAGATGTGCATCTAATAAATTTCGTGGAGATACATTTATGATGAAGTAATCTATTTTTTCATTAGGAATTATGATTTGAACCATTTTATTCTGTAATTGCTTTTATCTAATATTGCTTCGACACATACCCATTAGCTGTGTCTCATTTTTCTAGCTAAACACTTATGTGAATCTATTACTGACTTTTGCTCTTTTTATTGTAGTAAAATGTTGCTACTACCTATGTGAAAAATCAGTACCACATGGAAATGAACTCTGTTTCTCCATTCTAAAATCAGAAGGAACCTCTAAATTCCTGGAAATTGGAAGGGATCAAAAAATGAAAAAGTGGGATAAAATAAATTAGCCATTAACTGTAGAAAAGAATGATTGCAGGTTTCCCCTGTGGTAGATATTGAAATTTTAAAAAATGATACGATCATAACTTGTAAACTAAACTGTTACTCAATTATGGTGAGGGAATTAAACATTTTGGTTAGATAACATGGTTACTAGAGAAATATTCTACATGAATGGCCAGTATCCAAGGAACAATTATGTGAAAAGCTATACTGAAAATATAACACAGAGTACTATTCTTTCCTTTTTTAAAATATGTGAGTGCATATATAATTTTTTTCTTTTTTAAAAAACATGTAATTTTTGCACCTATTGACCTGTCCTCTAAGTTCCCTGCCCCTGCCCCCCACCCACTAACAGGCCCTGGTGCGTGTTGTTCCCCTCCCTGTGTCCATGTGTTCTCATTGCTCAACTCTCATTTATAAGTGAAAACATGAGGTGTGTGGTTTTCTGTTCCTGTGCTAGTTTGCTGAGGGTAGCTTCCAAGTTCATCCATGTTCCTGCAAAGGACATGATCTCATTCCTTTTTATGGCTGTATAGTATTCCATGGTGTATATGTACCACATTTTCTTTATTCAGTCTATCATTGATGGGCATTTGGGTTGGTTCTGTGACTTTGCTATTGTAAATAGTACTGCAGTAAACATACATGTGCATGTGTTTTCATAGTAGAATGGTTTGTAATCCTTTGGGTATATACCCAGTAATGAGATTGCTGGATCAAATGTTATTTCTGGTTCTAGATCCTTGAGGAATCACCATACTGTCTTCCATAATGATTGAACTAATTTACATTCCCACCAACAGCGTAAAAGCATTCCTATTTCGCCACAGCCTAGCCAGTATCTATTGTTTCTTGCCTTTTTTTTTTCTTTGAAGGCCATTAATATTTTATTTTACTTTTTTTATTATTATTATTCTTTAAGTTCTGAGGTACATATGCAGAACATGCAGGTTTGTTAGATAGGTATACACGTGCCATGGTGGTCAACCTGTCATCTACATTAGGTATTTCTCCTAAAGCTATCCATTCCCAAGCCCCCCACGCCCCAACAGGCCCTGATGTGTGGTGTTCCACTCCCCTGTGTCCATGTGTTCATATTGTTCAACTCCCACTTATGAGTGAGAACATGCAGTGTTTGGTTTTCTGTTCTTGTGTTAGTTTGCTGAGAATGATGGTTTCCAGCTTCATCCATGTCCCTGCAAAGGACATGAACTCATCCTTTGTTATGGCTGCACAGTATTCCATGGTGTATATGTGCCACATTTTCTTAATCCATTCTGTCACTGATGGACATTTGGGTTGGTTCCAAGTCTTTGCTATTGTGAATAGTGCTTCAATAAACATACTTGTGCATGTGTCTTTATAGCAGCATGATTTATAATCCTTTGGGTATATACCCAGTAATGGGATTGTTGGGTCAAATGGTATTTCTAGTTCTAGATCCTTGAGGAATCACCACACCGTCTTCCACAGTGGTTGAACTAGTTTACAGTCTCACCAACAGTGTAAAAGTGTTCCTATTTCTCCACATCCTCTCCAGCACCTGTTGTTTCTTGACGTTTTAATGATTGCCATTCTAGCTGGTGTGAGATGGTATCTCATTGTGGTTTTGATTTGCATTTCTCTGATGGCAAGTGATGATGAGCATTTTTTCATGTGTGTGTTGGCTGCATACATATCTTCTTTTGAGAAGTGTCTGTTCATATCCTTCGCCCACTTTTTGATGGGGTTGTTTTTTTCTTGTAAATTTGTTGGGGTTCTTTGTAGGTTCTAGATATTAGCCCTTGTGCTTCTCTGGTGAGACAAGGCCCCACTCTGCTTTTGTTCACCCTCCATGGGCAGCACCCACTGTCTAACCAGAAATTTGTCTATTTCTTCTAGACTTTCTATTTTATTTGCATAGAGGTGATTATAGTATTCTCTGATGGTAGTTTGTATTTCTGTGGGGTCACTGGTGATATTCCCTTTATCATTTTTTACAGTGTCTATTTGATTTTTCTCCTTTTTCTTCTTTATTAGTCTAGCTAGTGGTCTATGTATTTTGTTAACTTTTTCAAAAAAAAACAGCTCCAGGATTCATTGATTTTTTGGAGCTTTTTTCTGTCTCTATCTACTTCAATTCTGCTCTGATCTTAGTTGTTTCTTGTCTTCTCCTAGCTTTTTTAATTAGTTTGCTCTTGCCTCTCTAGCTTTTTTAAATTGTGATGTCAGGGTGTTAATTTGAGATCTTTCTAGCTTTCTGATGTGGGCATTTAGTGCTACAAATTTCCATCTTAACACTGCTTTGGCTGTGTCCCAGAAATTCTGGTACATTTTCTCTTTGTTTTAATTAGTTTCAAAGAACTTCTTGATTTCTCTGTTAATTTCATTATTTACCCAGGAGTCATTCAGGAGAAGGTTGCTCCATTTCCATGTAATTGTGTGGTTTTGAGTGAGTTTCTTAATCCTGAGTTCTAATTTGATCGCACTGTAGTCTGAGAGACTGTTTGTTATTATTTCAGTTCTTTTGCATTTACTGAGGAGTGTTTTACTACCAATTATGTGGTTGGTTTTAGAATAAGTGCCATGTGGCACTGAGAAGAATGTATATGCTGTTGATTTGGGGTGGAAAGTTCTGTAGATATCTATTAGGTCCACTTGGTTCAGAGCTGAGTTCAAGGTGGGATATTAAAGTCTCCTACTATTATTGCATCACAGTCTAAGTCTTTGTAGGTCTCTAAGAACTTGTTTTATGAATCTGGGTGTTCCTGCATTGGGTGCCTATGTATTTAGAATAGTTAGCTCCTCTTGTTGCATTGTTCACTTTACTTTTATATAATGTCTTTCTTGTCTTTTTTGATCTTTGTTGGCTTAAACTCTGTTTTTTTCAGAGACTAGAATTGCAACCTCTGCTTTTTTTGGATTTCTATTTGCTTGACAAATTTTTCTCCATCCCTTTATTTTGAGCCTATGTTTCTATGAGCCTATGTCTGCACATGAGATGGGTCTCCTGAAAACAGCACACTGATGGGTCTTGACTGTTTATCCAATTTGCCTATCTGTGTCTTCTAATTGGGGCATTTAGCCCATTTACATTTAAGGTTAGTATTATTATTGTGAATTTGATCCTGTCATCATGATGCTAGCTGGTTATTTTGCACACTAGGTGATGCAGTTTCTTCATAGTGTCATTGGGTTTTATATTTTGGTGTGTTTTGCAGTGGTTGGTACCTGATTTTCCTTTCCATATTTAGTGCTTACTTCAGGAACTCTTGCAATGCAGGCCTGGTAGTAATGAAATCCCTCAGCATTTGCTTTCCTGAAAAGGATTTTATTTCTTCTTCACTTATGAAGCTCAGTTTGGCTGAATGTGAAATTCTGGGCTGAAAATTCTTTTCTTTAAGAATGTTGAATATTGGCCCCCAAGCTCCTCTGGCTTGTAGAGTTTCTGCTGAGAGGTCTGCTATTAGTCTGATGGGCTTCCCTTTGTAAGTGACCTGGCCCTTCTCTCTAGTTGCCCTTTACATTTTTTCCTTCATTTCAACGTTGGAGAATCTGAAGATTATGTGTCTTGGGATTGATGTGCTCATGGAGTAATCTTAGTGATATTCTCTGTATCTCCTGAATTTGCATGTTGGCCTGTCTTGCTAGGTTGGGGGAGTTCTCCTGGATAATATCGTGATGTGTGTTTTCCAGCTTGTTTCCATTATCCCCGTCTCCTTCAGGTATGCTAGTCAATCGTAGGTTTGGTCTTTATATATGATGTTCCATATTGTTTGAGGCTTTGTTCTTTCCTTTTCATTCTCTTTTGTCTAATATTGTCTGGATGCCTTATTTCAGCAAGGTGGTCTTCAGACTCTGGTATCCTTTCTTCTGCTGTTCAATTTGGCTATTGATACTTG